ACACATTCTCATAGCCAGTAATAAGAAGAACCAAATTTGTGAGGGGCTATACGATGGCTAACTCTATGGATGAACAATGACGTGACAACATTGAGGACATATTTGCAATTATTATGAGCGGACATAGAGTTAGTAAAACTAGAATAAAATGATTCCTGTGGACCATAGCGCCTGAAGAGGCAGTTTTGAATCAAAGAGGAGTTTGTAGGTTTATCTAATATTTCCGAGATAGCACAATGCCTTGATAACGGTTTATCTAAGAAGCAATTCCAGGGGCACAATTTCCAATAAGAAGATTAAAGATTTCACTGCAAGGGGCATCGCAAAGGAAATTACGAAATATATCACAATCGGTACGCTAGGAACAGAAAAGAAAAAATCTTGTGAATAGAGGGTTAATGCTTAATAGATGAGTCAAAGGGAATATAAACAGACACAGATAACGCGTGATCCGAATTGCCAAAAGAAAAGAGGTGAATTGCGCGTCAAGTGTCAAGAAAGAAGTTAAGTTATAAATCGAGCAAAGCAATATTTTGGTTCAAATTATTAATGATGGCAATACCATAGGGAGAATATGTGAGCAACAGTGAACTCTGAAGGAAACTCGAAACGTATACTTATAATCAGAAAGAGTAAATAGTAATTTCTGGGACGCATAACGAGGAAAGAGCGCCTGTAGAGATTAACACTCACAGGACAGACTGAAGTCACAAGAAGAAGAGGAAAAACATTGAATAATTTACTTGACCAACTTGTGAGACTGGATGACAGAACATGATCAAAGAAGGATGGTAAATACTAAAAGAATATTCGGAGAAACAAAACAAGGGAATTTGTGGAGAGCAGTGATAGCAAACTTTCTAAAATGACTTGACAAATTATTTGCTTAAGTTTTTTTTTTTTTCTTTTGGTTAATCCTGTAGCTTGTAGACGAGATGCACACACATAGAAAAAGATTTTAAAATAATTAGAGAGATAAACGTTGTTAATGTTTCAACCATTGTTCCACTCGGTAAGATTTAACTTAACACGACAGTAGCCGGGCATGCGTGAGAAATGAACTCACAACGGGAGCAAATCGGTATGGCAGGGAAACGTGTCAACCATTTCCGCTAAGTGAAACAGCTCTTGTCTATTATAGATGGTGATGTGTATTTGCAGGGAAATGAATTTAACTCTAGGGGGAGGTACGTAATTCTGTGAGAATTGGTTTCTTATTTCTTCTCTTTCTACATTTTCTTTGCGTTTTCTCTCTTTTCCCTTTTACAGTTTGCACTCATTTTCACTTCAGCTCTAAATTTACAAAGCTTTATTTATTTGATTTCTTCAAAGTTTTTGCCCTTTTCCTTCTTCTACGTCTTTTTCTTCTTTTTTTTTTCTTCTTCTTCTTCTTATACGGAGCCCCTCTTTCTTCGTAAGGAGAATTCACGGTGGAGTTGTTTTACTCACGTCTATTACACAAACTCGGAGATTTACAGGAAAATGGCGCTAGAGCAAATAAGATGGAGATTTTCACACAGTAACAACGAAAAATGAAAAAAAGAAAACTAATTCAGCTGCAGAAAGTTTTGCAGAAAAAAAGCAGAAAAACCTGTCACCAGCACATTATATATATATATATATATATATATATATATATATATATATATATATATTGAACAATAAGAAAATAAAAAATTAAAAAATTAAAATCATTAGACACACTGGGTTGTAGACTAATATTCTTTCGTTTTTATTATTATTATTATTATTCCATTTAGATTCCTCGACTAGTTTCGACCGAAATGGCCATCATCGGGAGGAGAAATATTTCTGCTTGCTGTTAGCAGTGAACTACAGAAATGAATGACTTTTGTTGGAGAAAATGAACTTTTGTCTGTAGTTATCATTTGTTTTTTTTATTTTTTTATCTTTTTCACATGAATCTTTTAACATTCCTTGTGTTGGTCAAACAGTCACTTTTAAGTTGTTATTTGAGATAAGAACTGGATAGATACATTTTATCCTGAATTCTCTGGTCAGTTTGACAGTTTTATTGGACCTGGTGAGGGGATGTGTCTCTGTTTAGTGTTTGTGTGTGTGTTATTTGGTTCTTAGGGAGTGAATGAGTATATGTGTAAGCGTGTGTATTGCTGTAGGTGTGTGTTATCATTTGGCTAATTAGGGAGTGAGTGAGTATGGTGTGTGTACGTGTGTATAATCGTGTGGGTGAGTTTATAAGTGTGAGGCCTCCATTCCTCCGTAAGCATGTCTGTCTTGTGTGGGTGAGAAATGTGGGTAGGTTTTGATTTGTTGAGTTATATATTGTTACTATCTATATATTGTTAAATTTATGATTTAGCCCGGCTGGGTATTTTGTTTTTAGACGTTGTATCCACTTATTTTCATGGGACTCTAAAATCTTTCTAATGTTATCTGCTCTGAACTTTTCTATTCTCTCAATTATAGTGAATCTGGCATGGGTTTTGAAATCGTGTTTTTCTAGGCGGAAATGTTGTTCTACAGGTAATAACTGTTCATAGGGAGTCGATTTAATTCGCTTACGATAATTATTAATTCTGTAGTTAAAGGGCCATTCAGATTTTCCTACATATTGTTTCTGGCATAGTGTGCATTCTAGGAGGTAAATTATGTTTTGACTTCTACAGTTAGAATCGTGGTAGATTTTGAAAGTAGATTTAGTGATAGAGCTAGTGAATGAATTCGTGTTTTTAATATGGTTGCAACATAAACTTCTTTTGTTGTTACATGGTTGGGAAAATCCTGTTGTTTTTGTTCTCAGTTCCTTACGGATTACCTTGTCCCCTGAATTGTGGTTACTACCTATGATTTCTTTTAGGTTCTTAGGTCTATATATATATATATATATATATATATATATATATATATGTGTGTGTGTGTGTGTGTGTGTGTGTGTGTGTGTGTGTGTGTGTATTTGTGTGTCTATGTGTATCAATATCTTATACCTATATATTTTGGCCAACTATCTATTTATCTATCGGTGGATAATCGTTATCTATCTATCTATCTATCTATCTATCTATGGATAATCCTTATCTATCTATCTATCTATCTATCTATCTATCTATCTATCTATCTATCTATCTCCTTCCTGGGTATGGCGATAAACTACATACGCGTCACGGGTAATACGATAAACTACGTCCAACAGCAAAGATTCTGATCAGAAGGTTTTGAGGAGCGTGGGACCACCGCTTAATTGCCGGTGTTCCCAGGTCCTACCTACCCCGTGGTGGTAGCACCTGTTAGGGTTCCAGATATGGGCAAGTAGTTAACCCCCAAACTGGAGTCAAATCACTATGAATGTGTAAAATAGTTTTTTACTGCCTGAAATACTCTGAAAAATTTATTACCAACATTAATTTTTTGAAAGAAAAAATCATTACCAGCTATACATTTAAAAAAAAAAGAAAAAAAATACCAGCCATACATTTTTTGAAAAAAATATTAACAGCGAAGGAAAAATAATAACAGGAATAGATTTTTGAAGGAAAAATATTACCAGCAATATATATTTTTGAAAAAATAATATTACCAGCAATAAAAATCTTGTTGGTATTAAACAGCCCACTAAGTTTATATGCCGTAAAACATAACAAACCAAATTATCTATCTATTTATCTATCTACCTATCCCTATCTATCCTCTAAGTAAGCTTATAGTTATACGACACCCTAACAAACCATTTTTTTTTAAGAGATTCCTCCGAAAATCGCTATTGCATAGCAAAGTGTTGAGATTGTTATAAATTAAATTTTGGTTTAATCTAATCACTTAACAACAAGCAAGTCGTTAAATCCACTAACACAATACGGTTACTGAACGTGAAAGAAACGGAAAGAAAACATTATTGAGGAGAATGGACAATAAATGAACAGGATTCAAGATGATGACGATTGACGTTGCATTTAAATTTGTGAAGATCACATTTGACTAAAAAGCAAGAATCCGGATGAGAGATTAACAAGCAACAAGTGTGGGTGAAGAAGCTGTTAGCATGGATCTTATGGTTGCATTAATAATTTAAACTGTAAGAAGATGAGACCTATCTGTCAATCTAGTACTGCGTTTCAATTCGTGAAGTTGAGGTACCAAAGATGAAAGTTTATCAGAATAATTACAGTGAAAATATTTATAGAAAAAGCACAAAGTAGCTCTGTTAGGCAGGTGGTAATGTGATTGAAGCCAAGAAGCCAGGTCCGGATTAATAGCATTGCAGATTCATCTTGGAATATTTAGATGCTTAGCATATGCACCAGAGCAGATGTGGTAGGAATATTCAATGTTATTTTTGTGGTTTTATATTTTATTCAAAAGCAAAAACAAAAAAACTGTTAGAAGAGAGGCTGAATAAAAGAAAAACGATATTTTAAAAAAAAGACATTTTTAATGGTTTTATTTTTTTTACATAAAATATCGAAATTGTTCTATATAACTTTTTTGTAAAATCTCTACGAAACGAAGAAGAGAACACTCCAAAATGTCTTCCCTAAAGAAGAAATTGAAACAATATGAATATATAAAACTATCGACAATATGAATATATAAAACTATCGACAAAAATGTATTGACATAATTAAAAAAATATTTTGGGAGAGAGGGGGGAAAAAACATATTGACAAAAGGATAAACATGTAATATATCCAACGTTTGTTTTCACAAAGATGTAATCTGTTTTTGTCCTAATATTTTATTCATTATTTTCGAACTCAATATTCATAGATTTTTGAACGGATTTTTTTAAAGAATTTTTTTTTTAAATATGAAATATACCTCGACACTCACGAATACTTGCAGAAGAATGTCTTTACATTGTACAGACATGCTGGGAGAAATAAATCCAAACTTTTCATTAAACTCGGAAGAAATTATTCATTTTTCAATGGTGAAAAAAAAAAAAAAAAACAGGGCGTGATCGATTTTTCTCGAAATTAAGAAAACGTGATTATTTTTCCCCTCTACTTTAACGCTTCGCAGAAAAATAGTTTCTGAATATTTTTTTCGCTGTGATTCATCTTTATTTGATTAAAGAAAACGACGAAGAAAAATGCGTTCGATTCATGAAAGCGATTTGTGAATAAGACTTTTGTAAAAAAAAAAAAAAATGTCATTTCTCTAGAAAAAAAATAAGAAGAGAAAATCCTGAAAAAGGTATTTTTATTTTTTATTTTTTTTACATGTCTGTATTTTACGGAGAATATAATTCAGTTGCCCGGTAAAATCAAAACTTTCTGTCAAGGAAAATAAATTTAAACATAAACCAATAGCATATTTAAATAGATTTGACAATGGACGGAAAATGCCTAATAACTCGCATAAGAAACGGTACCCTCAGATTTATTCAAAATTCTAAAGATCCTAAAATAATTGTAATGAAAAGAAAACTATTTTTGAATAATCCTATAATATCGATTAGATGATAATGTTTTTTTTTCTTTTTTTTTTAGATGTATCGTTTCAACTAAGGGGATCATGGCTCTCCGCATGTTCTTTAGGATTTGCTAATTACCATGGTTTCTTGTTAAAAAAAATACTGGAATGATTTCCTGTTCTCTTTCGTTCGGTTTATATTCAACAATTTTTACCTGTCGCTTCACACTTCAACCAAACATTTCATAGCGTTGATGACATCAGATGAATGTTTTTAGCGTCTTCATTCAACAGCCGACAAGAAAGTAACAGATCGGTGTTGAAATTTATTCTCAAATTATATTCACACATTGAGGGAATAAACAGGGATTTGCGTTTACTCACAGAGTAAAATTTCCTTTCCCCTGTGCCGGCAACTTCTGAAAATTGAACAGTTTTGGTTGCTCTGCTACTTAATACATTTTTTAAATCATTTCAACACAAGTAAAGCAATAAAGTCACTAAGACGCAAAGGGTTACCAAGAGTGAAAGAATATGAGAAATGACTTCAGCTTTATATATTTTGAAAGTAAATTTATTGCATCAACTACAAAATATCTATTTTGTACACAATTTTATACTTTCAGGGCAAATGTATGTTTTTTTAGATATATAGTATGTAGATGCTAAAAAGAACTCTTGGTAAATTTTCAAACGGACGAAACGCTGGTAGCCTCGAACAACTTTACCGCTATTTCCACGGCAAATGTTCAGACGAGCAACACTCGTTAGTTCCACCAATCCGTATTTTCACTGCTACGACCCGTCAAGAGAACTATATAGCGCAAACTCATCCATAACCCTTTCGGGTTACTTTGGTGAGGAGGAAATTTCACCCAGCCAGCGTCTTGTCAGAACTGGTACTTCGTGGAACGAGCTCATGAGGGGGGTTGCTTTCCCAAACACTACAATCTTAATCTCTTCAAGTTTAACGTCACCCGTTATCTATCATACATATAATTATAATACTAGATTAAAAGCCGGTCCA